CATCCATAGATGCTTCTCAAGCAAATCCCGGGACGTCATTCTCCCCCTGTACTCGGCCTTAGTGAGGCCGCAGCTGGAGTACTGTGTCCAGTTTTGGGCTCCACAATTCAAAAAGGATGTGGAGAAGCTTGAGAGACTCCAGACAAGAGCCACGCGCATGATCAGAGGTCAGGGAAGCAGACCCTACGATGACAGGCTGAGAGCCCTGGGGCTCTTTAGCCTGAAAAAGCGCAGGCTCAGGGGTGATCTGATGGCCACCTACAAGTTTATCAGGGGTGACCACCAGCATCTGGGGGAACGTTTGTTCACCAGAGCGCCCCAAGGGATGACGAGGTCGAATGGTCACAAACTACTTCAAGATTGTTTCAGGCTGGACATAAGGAAGAACTTCTTTACTGTCCGAGCCCCCAAGGTCTGGAACAGCCTGCCACCGGAGGTGGTTCAAGCGCCTTCATTGAACACCTTCAAGATGAAACTGGATGCTTATCTTGCTGGGATCCTATGACCCCAGCTGACTTCCTGCCCTTTGGGCGGGGGGCTGGACTCGATGATCTTCCGAGGTCCCTTCCAGCCCTGATGTCTATGAAAGTCTATGAAATGAGGGAGAGGACTCTTGCATTGCTGCTGCTGAAGCTCAGGTACCAGCAGCAGGTTGACCAGACCACCAAGAAGCTTAGTGTGGGTTATTTGCCCTGCCAAGACACTAACTGCAGCAGAGACATCTGCTAGAAATGCCACTGCCCTTTCTAATGAACTGTCATTGCTACAGTTGTATTTCACCACCCTCATCCCATTCTAATCTTGCACTGGCCCTTCATGGCCATGGACCTCATTCTGACTTACTTCCTTTCCAGCTCTTAAATCATTGCTGCATCTGTCCCTTGGAAATGTCAGGAGACAGACAAATTGCTCTTATCTGATGTAAATTTTTTCATTGTAAAGTCAAATGAATGATACAGGTTCCTATGTTAACAAATGGTCCACCTTGGAGTGGCGAGTGCTTGGAAGGCATGAATGATGCGTGCCCCCGGCAGCTGTGGGGGGGCATGGCGGCAGTGGGAGCGTGGCGGTGGCAGCAGTGTGGCAATGGCAAGTGGGGGAGCTCCCGCAGACGCCGCTGGCACTGTCAGTGGCAGGGGGTGGTGAGCACTGACCAAGGGTCGGCAACCACCCACAGCCACCGCTGGCAATGTTGGCATCATCCAGCAGGGATTGCAGACCACCTGCAGACACCGCTGGCAGTGTCGGTGGTGGGGTGGTGAGTGCCCGCAGGCACTGCCAACAGCGTCAGTGGTGCCTTTTTGTAGGGGGTGCACTGCAATGCTCAGGGGGTGCACGTGCACCTGTGTGCACCCCCTACGCATTGCCCTTGTTGGAAGGTCTCAAACAGTCACCCTAGCAAGTGAGGATTTCTCCATATGTGGGTTCAGGCTTTTGTAGGCCTTGAGAAAATATGTCATCCTGGCATGAATGCCTCTTATGTCTAGACCCACATTCCTAACACGCTCCTGTAGCATTTAGTCCTCTGTCTGTTTTTCTGCTTTTTCTTTCATTTTCTTTTCTTTAAAGCAGCAAGTTCTGTCATCTATTTATATTATCTATTATACACACACATGCATGCATACACCACATTCTGTAATGCTTGGGGAAAAAGTCTCTGCAACAGGTGTCTTGTATTAAGTCAGACTAAGCAAATACAGAACATATAATGAAATAAAAAGGTCCGTTAGATAATGTCCAAACTCTACAGCACATAAACAGCCCCCTTTTTTGCAAATGAACTGCTGTTTATTTAAAGAGGAATTATTTCACTGAACTGAGACCACAATAATTGGCTATTATTCCTACGTAACACAAAGAGCTGATGTCTTTGAGGCTAGAGACAGAAGTTACACATAAACCAGTTTAAGTGATCAGAAACTGGTTTAAACCTGTAACAGAACAGAAGCTCAGCACACATAAACCAGTTTCAAAATGGCTGAAACTGGTTTAAAATAAACCTGGGTGAACGTAGTATCAGACTTAACTGATTTGGGTCAAACTGATTTGTGAAACTTCTATCCCAGACTCCTTCCTGGTTCAAGTTAAATCAGAGTCCCCCAGCATCCCAGCATACTTCCCAGCCCTGGGCTGGGCTGGGCTGGGCTGGGCTGTCTGTGCAAAGAGCAGGGCTGGCCCTACCCCTCTGCTCCCTAGCCGTGGCAGTGAGGGCTGGCTGACAAGGGGATGGGAGGGCAAGCCCAGCTGGGGATGCAGCCTAGTCTATAGCTGGGTCTGGGGCCATGGAAAGGGATTAAACACCCTTTCCCCTGCTCAAGTTTACTGCTGGCTGCAACTGTGGACTACAAAGCCCAGAGGTACCTGGAAGCAGAAAGAGGAAGTGATTAACAACCCTGCAGAGTCCTGCTGCTGTAATTCTGCACTGCAAACCATAGAGACCTTTGGAGGCAGCAGGAAGAGGAAGTGAACACACAGCCAGAGAGCTATGCTCTAGCACCCCCGGCTTCCGGCCTGAGCCACTACAGGCATGTGGCTGAATTTCCTGAATCAAAGGTAAAAGTCTGTTTGCTTCTGTTTCAATTTAATCTGTCCAGTTTAGACTAACCTGCAAAAACTGAACTGATTCAGCCTGGGGGTTTGTAACTGTCTGTACGTAGTCTGATAGGTTCTTAAACAAGTACCTTAGTGGAATCTCAGACCTCTATGTCCAGCAGGCTAGACCCAATTGCTTTCTTGGTTATTGGGCTTCAAGAGGGTTCCTTCCCTCTGTTCTTACCTGTGCCATCTTCTAAGTGTCCAAAGTTACAGATCTGGCTGATGTTGTGCACCCATATCTGCATTTCCTCCTCCGTTTTGGCTACCAGGTAGAAGGTGCGGTATGTCGTTTTCACAATGAAGACGAAGTTGTTCTGGAATTCCTTCTTGATGAAGTTGGGCCCTGAATGTTTCAGCACTTCACACTCATTCAGGTCTATGATCCGAATGGGCTTTTTGGCATGGTTGTTTCTATAGTACTCCAGAACGTCAGGGTTCCCACTCATGCGGCCTCTCCGCAGCACAAACCAACGCTTCCTCCATGCCTGCAAATATACAATGGAACATGCATCACAGCTGGGTCATGTCCTTTCCACTCTTTCAACCTGCTATCAAACTTTTTATCAACAGGCTGAACATGGATATTTTTTTTGATTCTGTGAGGATCATAATAATCAGACAGACTTGTGACGTGTGAACTGAAATGCATCCTATTAATTTGTGTTCCCACCAGGAAGAAAAAGGTGTCTGGCTGTAATTTTAACATGTGGTAGCAAGTGAAGGTAAACCCGAGACTGCACTACACTCCATACCTTAAACTGTTCAGACATGGGAGAGTTACAAACTCCCTTCCATCCTTTCCCCACCTTGCATTTTACTCTTGTATAGATTGTTAGCTAGTATGAAGTAAGCACACACCTTTTAGTGAAAAGAAAAAGCCTAGGTAGACAAGGTTCTTCGGGTAAATCCAATATCTTTTATTAGACAAACTCAGATAGTTGGAAAAATTCTTCTTTGCAAGCTTTTGGGTACAAATACCCTTCGTCAGGCTGAGGAAGCATCTGCAGATGGTCTATGCTCTTCCTGGATGGAGTGGTAGAGCAGCCAAAGGCCAGTACATATGCAAGAAAGAAAAAGCCTCCGATTTTACCATGTACTACTTACCATGTGTTAATTAACATCTGGCAACAAACACCTTTTTTCCTAGTGACAACAGAGACCTTGAGATGAACTGAGCCTGTTTCTGTCAGATGGTTTTCAGTGTTAATAAAGAGCTGTTAATGAGCTGTCAGTCACTTACTAAAGTAAAGGAGAACAGGCCTTGACGGGGTTGCAGTGCTAAAAAGTTAAACAGGAAACTTCAACATGTTACAAAATCCTGTATCTCACATATACTGGTTTTAATAACTTTCTTTGCCTGGGGCTGTAATTAGTAAACATTTATGTTTTCCAGCCTCAGTGACTGAACAGGCTGGATTCCATGCAGGGTTAAGTGAAGTCACATATAGATGAAGACACTGCACAATTTTATTAAGCGGCATGCAGGATTTGTAAAAGAAATCTGATTTTTTCCTTCTCTTTCAGCAGCTGTTTCAGCTCATCAGCAGTATAAGCTCTGCTGTGTTGATTACAGCTGTCAACTGCCTTGTTACTACAAAACCCAGAAGAAACCCATCCACATTCCCACTTCTTGACTAAAAATTAACCTAAGAAATTATGAGTTCTTAACCCACCACAGTTGACAAAGATGGTAACTGAATAAAAGTAGGTCATGTGACCAAAAATAAAATGACACACTTTGGTCCTGAGGCCAGATGAAAATTCACCATGTCCTTCTTGAGGTCAGAACTGCTGGAGCTGTTTCCACCCTGCTTGGAGCTTCCACCATCGTTTGTAACGACGCGTGCGGATGTACAACCATTCCAGTCGTCACTGCTCTGTATACAATAGCGCCTGGAACTTCATAATAAAAGCCAACACAAAACTCAGCGCTCCCTGGTGAAACTTGCTATGAAACTAAACCGAAGGAAAACCTCCATCAGTTGTGAGCAGTGTAGGAGCTATGACAATTCCATGAGCAATTTGGCTTCCACCAACGAAAGGGCAGCGCTGCACCTGTTCACTAGCCCATTCTGCTCCAGAATGGCTGCTGGCTATTTCCTTTTTTACCGTATAGGAAAAATAAACTAACAACAACCAAAAAAGCAATCTCCCTGCTTGAACCTTATTCAATCGTTGTTTGCAAAATGACTAGACCTAAAAACCTGAAAATGAGCAGTTGTCTGTCCCTTGAAACACGTTAGTACAGGGGCGGGTAATTATTTTGGGTGGAGGGCTACTTACTGAGTTTTGGCAAGCCCTCAAGGGCCACATGACAGGCAGCCAGGGGCTGATAAATATTAATTTTCTAAATTTTTTAGGGGCCCCGCGGGCCAATAGAATGGCCTGGCGGGCTGCATTCAGCCCATGGGCCACTTTTTGCCCACCCCTGTCTTAGTATGAGGTGGGATCATAAGCATTTGGTAGAAGTGGTCATCGTTAAGCTAAGACGCATCAAGCATCACTTAAATCCAAGCAACTGATTTCAAAATGTTTAAGCTAGAACAACTGAATCCTCACTGATGTACTCTAAGGACCAATACAGGTGCTACAGGTTTTGCTAACAGCCAATGAGTAGACAAACAACTAAAACATGGAAAAAATCCCTAAACATAAATAAATTCAGAATAAAATATAACTGACTTACAAGTCACTGACCTATAAAATTTAACTTGAAAATCTCTGTATATTCTTTGGTGCTAATAAGCAGAATGTTAAAGGTCTTGAATTCTCCCCCTCCTCCGCTTCTCCCTCTTGCACATCACAAGTACTGGAGTCTACCATCAAAGAGTTGGACAGAGCAAATGGTCCACTAAAATATTAATTCAATAACTTACTTAAAAGCATATCCATTCAACCAGACAGTACTTTAATCTACTTCTAAAGTGCAAGGTTATCCAAAAGCAACCTATGAGAGGCAGAGACTGAGGCAATATTTTAGACAAAGGTACGGTAATATGGAGGTGTTGTGTGTATAGGTCTACAGCAGTGGTGCTTAACCTGTGGCATGTGGGCTGGATTTGGCCCCCAAAGTGACTAGTTCCAGCAGCAACAAGTGGCAAGCAGCTCAGGCTGGCACGTTCCCTTCTCTGGCCTACACCATGCCATTGTTTCCATCCACAGCCCTCCCTGCTGGCTCCCTCTCCTCTCCCTATGCAGGTGCTGCTTACTCTATTGCTCCCTTTCTCCCTCCCCTCTTCCCCAGCTCCATGCTAAGATTCAACCCAGTACACCAATTATCTTCTATTATTACTACTATTACTCTACCGCCTAAGGGACCAAGTCATAGCCTTGGATTCCACTGTGCAAGGCACTGTACAAACACAGAACTGTCCCTCCCACAGCATTTAATGTAAGTACCAAAATAATAGACAACGGGAGTATCATGAACAGCCCAATACATAACAAATACATGGCTCTAGATTCTTTGGGCCAATTCTGGCTCTAAAAAACAGCAGACTGTTCCTACCGTGGAGTAGAAATCCTTGGTAGTATAAGTACAAAGGAGCTCCACTTCAAATCTCCTGGCTAGCAGGCAAGTCTTTGCAGAGGAGCATGGCAGAGAGAGAGCAGAGCTTCTAAGTGGCTCTAATTGATGTTGGGGTTGGGCTGGCACAGAATCGGAGAGCTCCCTCTGCATCCTTTGCGCTGAGCAGAGCTTGGATACAAGAGACAGTCAAACAGTCTCAGACACAATACTGGTAAGTGGCTCCAGGTATTTGCAGGACAGTCTACATTTCAGTTTGTTTAGACTTTGTGCTTCCTTGAATCATAAGTCTGTAGTCTTCAAACGCAACTCCAGTAGCTAGGCCAAAGGATAGGGTAAAATACTGGAACAGAATTCCTCAGCAAATGTTACAATCCAGCAACTTCAAAACTCTGGGCTGGATTCCCTATCAGTATCAAATATTGTAACTCCAGTGGTTCCAGTTATAAACCATCTGAGAAAGTGGTGCCAACAGATAATCTAATTAAATGATCAGTTCCATTTACATATAATGGATGTGGGTGAATGATGGTGGGAAGGAAAGGTAAGGCTCAAATTTAAGGGAGCTTTGGGCATTCAAGGCAGCAGGGGCAGAGCTCAGTGTGAAATGCTGAATGATGTGTGCCAGTGGAAAGGAGAGCCTGGTTAAATGAAACAGCCATGCAAGGTTCCCAGGATGCTATTCATCAAAAGACTCTCTTCACTGCAAAGCCTCTCACAAGGGCATACATCACTCCAAGCCAATCACCAGGAAGCTACCCTTCTCTATAAAGGAATACAGAGCCCAAAAGAGGTATAATAGCAGTGGGCCCTTGATTTTGCTAATCCCATTCCTGTCATTCAAGGAGATGACTAAATTCATAATGTGCTTTAATGGTGCATTTGGAGTAAACAACAGAAGCAGAAGGCGGCTATTGGCACTACAACATTTCTTGTGCTCTGTAATCGTTTTTACATGCTAGTAGGAAACTCTGTGTACTCAGTTGATAAAGAAAAAAGAGCGACAGGAACACGTGCCAGAAAATGCTACTGTCTGAGTCTTGTCAGCATATTGTCAACAGGGGACACCCCTACACTTTGTAGGACTAGGGAGTGAACATGGTGTAAACAGCCCTGATCTACAACCCACTGAAATCAATTAAACGCTTTCACTGACATCCATAGGGTCAACATAAGGTCCTACAGCAGCCGACAGTCATTGAGACCCTCGAGCTCCATTCCTTGTTCTGACTCTGTGTCAGCCTGCAGAAATCTCTGACTTTCTCAGTGCCTAAGTTTACACATCAGGGCTAGGGACAAACATTACACATAAATTGGTTTAAGTGATGAGAAACTGGTTTAAACCTGTAACAGAACAGATGTTCAGTGCACATAAACCAGTTTGAAAATGGCTGAAACTGATTTCAGATAAACCTGGTTGAATGTAGTATCAGACTTAACTGATTTGGCTTAAAGCAGTTTGTACAATGTGTGTCCCAGATCCCTTGCTAGTTTAAGATAAACCAGACTCCCCCAGCATCCCAGCATGCTCTCTGGGCTGGGCAGGGCTCTCTGCTCCACAGCAGAGCTGGCTCCACTCCCCTGCTCCCTGACTGGAGCTCCAGCAGAAAGTGCAGATGCAGCAGGGTCTGCCTGGCTTGCCCCTGCCCTCTCCCCTCCTCCCACTGTTCGCTGCTGAAGCAGGGATCCTCCCCCTCTCTCCCTCTCATCTCCTGCAGCACAGCCCCCAGCCCCACAGACCCTAGGCATGTGGTATGCTAGCTAATTCTGAGAGGGGTGTGTGTGTGTGTGTCTCCAATTTCACTGGGACAGGCAGACAGAACAGTGACTGCATAGGGCTTTTTGGAGCTAATCAACAGGTCAGCTGGTAAGCTGTTTAAGAAGAATTTGAACTAATGGAGAGAGGCTATTGCCTTGCTGATAGGGTGATAAACACTGTTATCAGCCCCCTGCTGGCTTGTTTGCCTGTCAATTTGCTGCAGACAGTATAAAGAAGCAGGGAGGGAGATTGAAAAGCTCTGTATCATCAGCAGATGCATGCACTGCACACCCTCCCATGCCTCAGAGTGCTAGCAGGGGTCTGGGGTTTGGCAACATTTCTGCCTCATAAGCAGCCAGCAGGGAAAAGCCTGGGATGGTGCAGACAGACCTCCCTAATCAGAGGTTCTGCTGGGGCCTAGCCACGTCCCCCTCAGCTCAGCATTGTGCAAGGGAAGGGAGGGTTGCTCTAGAGCCCCTCAGCTT